ACAGCCAGCCTTCTTTCATCTATACCGTGCCGTCCCCAGACTATTTTGAAGCAAATCCTAGATGTCAGATCTAAGTTTCATTCATAAATATTTCAGTTTTTTTCTATGAAAGATAATCAAGCCTTCATTTTTAAACCACAATAAAAAGATCTCGCATTGAATCAGTATATTGTATTGAATGAAGAATACAGCATTAACTTTAGACCAGAATAAGTGCCGAGTGAGAAAATGAGCCTAGGTTATATTGATAACTCTTGGTATTCACAGGCTGATTTTTTTCCTCTTCTTTTTAAAAATCAGGGTTACCTTATTTTGAGTTCCAGTAGCTGCTTTTATTAACCCATTAAGCAGATCCCACAAAACTTTCATTAATTGAAACCCAACCAAATTGAACTCATTTTTTTTTTTTTTTTTGGCTTTCTACTCTTTCCCTGTACCTCCACAAGAGGGCAGATAAGGAAGAAAGAAGTGAAGTTTAAATGAATCTGATTTGAGTTTCACTTTTGTTAATCTAAGGGAGTTGTGGAACATTTTTGAGGTGACTTTTCAGGAACAAGCCTTAACTTCTTTCCTTGAAACAACTCACAGTGAGACAAAATAATATTTGCTATTTTAAAGGGGGGTAAGCAGCAATCTTTTTAAAAAATGGTTTCCAAAGCATTATCACAGCTTTTAATTTTCTCTGTGATTAATAATTTCTGTTTAAAAATAATGATTTGGGATTTAATGAAAATATAGCATTTTAATTTCTATCTAATTTTCACAAACTATAGTTTTGGACAACTGTTGTCAAAATTTCTCATTTAGTTATATGAGTGTTGCCTAGTTGAGGTATTTTAGCTGTGCATTTGATTAGCAATGGAAGAGGCATAACTACTGTCTTTATCTCCAATTTTCTCATTTATTAAAAGCCTCAGTTACTATGGCAGTGTTACTAAATGAATTATATTCACAAATACCTAAAAATATATGTTAGTTACTTTATGTCAAAAACAGTATTCTGTTTGAAGCATGTTTGACATTGAATGCCTGCATGCCATGTAAATTGCTGTTTAGTCTGTGGGAATTTTGAATAAGCATCTATGAAGTTTTTTGTCAACGGATTATTTCTTTGTTGGACTTGGTATTTGGATACTGTGATCTGTGGTAGTTTTTGTTCTTTGATACAACGTATGTTTACTCTTCTTGAGTTTTTTCCCCCTGGTTTTTCCCAGTGAATATATTTCTTTTGGAAAAATGCTATTTTGTATTTGTGCTCTTAGCTGTTATAAGATATTGGGGGAAATGATGAGATAAACTTGCTGAAATTGATTCTTCTTTTTGTATATATTTTGGCACGTCTTTTGCAGTTAGTGTTTTTCCTTCTGTTGCCACCATTGAGATCTCTGATTGTCAGAGTTTCTGTGTCCCTGCAGGATGACACGTAAAGAAACTGTTTTCTTACGTTCCTATAGCATTCTTTTTTTTTTTTCAGCACTTAATGCCTTTTATTCCTCAGCTTCATGCATGAATTATGTAGCATATGTGAAGAGGCTTAAACTGTTACCATTACATTCTTTCTGGATGGCTCCTGTTATATTTAGGATATACTTATACTTTAGACAAAGTAAGAATGTTATTGTTGTCGACCTTGACACCAGATAACTGGGCAGACATTATATAGCTATGTTTGAATCCTCTCAAAATGTGCTATTGAAGCCAACGGAGTCCTGGCGGGAGACTCTTCTGGACAGCAGAGTTATGGAGCTTTTCTTCACAGTAAGTCTTAGTCCTCATCTCTAGTAGCAAGGGCCACAGAAAGGAGGAAATGCCTTTGTATCTTTTTTAAGTAAAACAGGAAAGGCTGCTTTTCTCCCCAAAGGCTTCTCTTAAATATATATTTGCTTGAACAGAAATTATATAAGAAGATTCTTGCTAATTTGTAAAAGCATTATTTAGTTATGAAAGGTTCAATATCTTAGAGCAGAAGTTCTCTAACTTCTTATCTGAGGACT